ACTCTCTTCCTCCAGGAAGCGTTCAAGATCATTGATATGAACAGGGAGGGGAACATAGTCACGGTACAACAAGAAGGAAGCGGTCTCACCCTGTGTCGCCACCCGGATGATCTCAAACCTTCGAAAAGTCGACCGGACAACCGCGACGAGAAACAGGAGTGCATGCAGTACGCCGACACCCAATGGCCAGAAGTAATTGAGCACGATGACGACGACGAGAGCTACTGCCTGGAAAAGAGAGATACAGCACCACCGCCTAGACGAAGTCAACGGAAACGGACGACCATTCCAGTTTACAAGTAAACACGAATGTTTACGAACAGTATTCATTTTATCTATTTGTGATAGGGGATGATGTATATGTATATATTGTGTTAATGTTGGACAAAGCGGGCCATCAGGAGCGATGGGGGATTGTTAAAAAGAGCGGGAAAGGACGGAGAAAAAAGGAAAAATTACATTGTATACTAGGGTTGATATTATTTATTAAAAGAAACGAACAAACCAGTTTATATTTACCACTACTATTCTACTGTGGTACCAGTGTTTTTGATAGTTTTGGTGGGGAAATGTTGTCTAAATATATATTGGCAAGCTGTGACTTCTAGCCGTAAATTTGCGAGTGATTATAATATGAAGAATATAAATGTATTTTGAAAATAAATTTTTATGCATTGCCGCAATAACCGCGCGCAGTAACGCCTGCATGATAAATAAACGCTGTCTATCCATTATAATCATTTTAACAACATGCAATAATTGTGCAACACACAGTATTTTAAATATCAACAAAATATAAAATTTCGCTATATCTCGCAAAAGGCACGAAGTCTACTGATCCTAACTACATTAGTACTGATCTTGACTACTACAGATCAACGCCATTACCATTCAGGCACGAAGGCATTACTTGACATAAAATCATATGACGAATAAACTAAGTTTTATACACCCTCAAATTGCTGTTTCTCCCAAACTTGCCTTGTTTTGTTCCGCATCTGTTATGTCGTGACGCATGCATAATGAATGACTGACGTTGTACTTATCCAACTGACGTCTACATAAATAACGAGTTTTGTAATCTGTTAGTCAGGATACAGACTACGTATATTCCAGATTTGTAACGTCATAGGACCATAGATATCTTATATACACTAGATAGCGCATCTCTTTTAGTAAAATTGAAGCCAAGAATATTCCAGCGGTTACCCCCATTTGAATATATGGCGGCCATGTTGGAGTTTCCCACTCGCTAATAAACGCTTAAAAAACAACAATAACTTTCATCATTTGAATAGTTTGAAAATGTATTTGGAATAGGTTTAACTTAATGTTTAAGTTCCCTGTTTAGGAAATAGAAAACATACGGGTTTTCTCACTTCATGGGAATATTCTGAATCTGCAATCACCCCTTCAATTTTTGAATTGCAGAATAATTAGATGCACTATCTAGTGTATATAACATATCTATGCATAGGACTTCCTGTCCTCAAATTTCTTCAAGCTGCACACGCCTTGATACTTGCTAGGAAAATGGCGGCGTATCATCTGTACTACCATTCCTTTTACTAGATAACGAATTATCACGCGAGCGACACTTGCTAGGAAGATGGCGACCGTGCATGGGACAACGTTTTTGCTGAATTTACACATCTGTTCATACTTAATCTGTGGTCAGGACGACCTCTTGTTCGGATTCGTAGGGAAAAAACAAATTCGAGTTGCGTATGTGTGATATACATTTGAAAAAATCAACTTTTTACCAGTTAATTCAACGAGAGCTGATTGTATCAACGTCAACAATACGTGTAAACGTTTGGAAGCGTTCGAGGAAAACTCCAGAACAATAGAAAAATATTTGAACATGTAGTCGCAGAGTCTATTTAAAATATCATATGACATTGGAATTTACCCTCAATACACATGTTTTCACCAAACTTAATTAAAATGAACAAAAAAATCCAGCCGAATTAAAAACATCGCTCTTGTGACGACAACAACCTCGTCACCAATCCTCTGCATCACCCATTCACCAGTCAGCTCACCGATGAACATGTCACTGCCAAATATCAATCAATCAATCAATCAATATTTATTTCCCATGTGTATGTACAATAATAAGTAACAAAAACTATGTGTAGTTTGAAGATGTTGGGCTAGAGACCTACTGGAAACCTTTTCAGGCTTTTTAATGTAGGCCACTAGTTAATAATAATAATATTAATTACAATATTTAGTCAGAGGGTCCACTCACGAAAGTGATTTTCAGTGGAGCCCTGATAAAAAAAATAAATAAATAAATAAAAAAAAAAATAGTAATAAAAAAAAAAAATAAATAAAAAATAAAAAAATATATATCTATCAAAAGTGAATATATGAAAGGTTAAATTGTATAAAGTTCGCATCCTATCAGTTCGGTGGGGTGGCCTATGGCTATATAGCTAAATGTTTCTTTAGTTTAGTTTTAAAAGTTTTAATTTGACGTATATTCTGGAGTTCCACAGGCAGACTATTCCAATCGTTGGCAGCATGGTAGCTGAATGCCTGCTTCCCCCAGTTCTTCTTCACGCGTTCCAAATGTATGTTCTGTTTGTTTCGAGTGTTGCAGCTGTGGATGTCAGAGGCGAACTTGAAATTAAATTTAAAATCGACGTCATTGTTTAAAGCCTTGTGCATGATTAGACAACGATGAAAGCGTCTAGGTGTTGTTAACGGCTGCCAATTTAACGATCGTAGGGATTCTGAGGCTGACGAGAGTGGATGAGCGTCAAGAATGATTTTAGCGGCTTTGTTGTGCAGAACTTGAAGGTTGTTCATCAGGACGGTGTTGTTTTTATCACCCCACACAAAATCAGCGTAGTCAAAGATCGGCATGACAAGGCTGTTTACTAGAATACGACGAGAACTGTTAGGAGGTGCTTAACTCTTCGTATGATACCAAGACGTTGATTAACTTTGGTAAAGAGTGCTTCAATATGATCTGACCACGATAATGTCTGATTTAAGGTTATACCAA